GCTCCACCATCTTTTAGCCCCAACCCACCCCCCCACTCCTCCATGGTAACACCTTAATCGGAGGAGAAGTGGAGGAGACAGAACACTACACTCCCCCCCCCCACTGCTCATCTCTCAGGGATTATCTCACCGCTGCAGCCGGGACTTCTGGGTAATATTAGAAAGATGGGGGGGGGGGGGCTTCATATCGCGCCGGCAGCTGTTCTTTATTGAGCTGATATCAAGTCCTTACAGGTTATTAAAGCTCACCTGGAAGGGATGGCGTTCACACACAGGAAGGGTGTGTGTTTGATTCCCACAAGCGGCCCTTGTCTGAGTCAGCTGTTGCTCGGCACATTACAACATTTACGGGGACTCATTTGTTCGATTGGTTGTGGTCTCTTTTTTAGGTTCTGACTGGAAAAAACAAACAGTGAAAACAAAAGTAGATCAAAAAAGTCTTTAAGAAAATAAAGCGATAGATATGACGTATGTGTTTTAAAAAATGAAGTAATTAATTGCACATTTTGAAATTCATTATCCTCGATTAATAGCGATTAATGAATGTTGTTACAATGTTGTTTTTAATGAAATGTTGATTTTTCTTGTAAAGACTAAATCTTACAAGTAATGACTATTGACTTTAGAAAACATGTAATTAAGACACTGTTGTGCAATTTTAAATGTTATTTTAAATACAAAACTACACACATTTGATCACCTTGGAGGCAAATTTCACCTGGTGGAACGTGTTGAACTAGCAACTCCGATAACTAAGCAGATAGCTTAGCCGCTAGCTTAGCATAGCGGTGCGTAAAGTGGTCTGTTTGCCACTCACCCCCCTTCTGTTTGACACGTGGAGGAATCCTTTTGCACAGTTCTCTGCTGTATGTTGCGTCTGTTTGTTTTACTTGCAATACAAAAAGCTTTCTCCATCTTGATGTAACTGACTGCAGCTAGCGACCGTTTCCGCGGTCAACTTCTGGTTTACTCCCGGAAGTAAACAAACGTACGTTAACTACATTAAAACATTTTGTTGCATTAATCTTGGCCACATTAATCGCATAGATTAATGCGTTTATGTTGACAGCTGTAGTTATGATTGTTTCTATACTTTATGTGATGCTGCAGTGAGTCATGTGTAATTAATGCAACAATAAACAAGCAACTAAAACAAATATATGTTCATGATAATGTTTTAGTGGTTTTACCTCAGTTATGCTTACAGTACTTCTACAGGAGTACAACTAAACTGGTGTTAGCACTTCTGATGTCAAGTATTTCAGACTTGTTAGATGCTACTAGCTGATTAAGATTCACGTGTCCGAGCGCTCCTCCGGGATCACACGGCCGTGACCAGACCCCACAGAACAGACGTCAGGACCCACTTGAGCCTCTCAGAACCAGTGGTGCTAGTGGACCAACCAGTTGCCAGTAGAAGTCTCTGCATTGACGTCTTCTTGGTATTTTTCATTAGTTGCCTCAAAATACTTTTGCTCAGCGTTTGGTCTTCTCAACAAAAAACAAGATGGCGATGACAGAAAACCAAATTGGCAACAACTCAAAACCAAGATGGCGAGAACCCAAAACGATTGAGTTCATTTTTTTTTTCTTTTGTATAGCCCACAATTACAAATTCGATTCGATAAATACATACTACTTACAACAGCTGCGTGTGGTTCCTTTAATGCCAATCAAATGTTCTACAAACAGTACAAACAGTATACAATGACCAATGGAGTCAAACGTGGCACTGACACAAGACAAGAACAGAGACCAGTCCTTGGTCCCATGAAGATCATTCATCGTTTTCACCAGTGTTGTTTCTGTGCTACGATGCATGCAAAATCCTGACTGGAAATCCTCAAACAACACCTCTGGAGCAAGAGTAGTTTTATCAAGAAGAGGTTGAATTACAGCTACCTTGTTGAAGGACTGTGGTACATGTCCTGTCAACAAAGACACATTCATCATATCCAGTAAAGACTAAAGGAAAAACTTCCTTAAGCAGCTTAGTCGGAATCGGATCCAAGAGACAAAATTTAGACTTTGAAATTATAGAAGTCAGTTGATCAAGGTTGATGGAAGAGAAGCCATCCAAGTAGGTATCAGGGCCCACTGCTGCATCCAAGGTTCCTACATCCGAGGACGGGTCGCCACTGGTTGAAGGCAGGAGACACTCACTTCTCTCTTAATAGTCAGAATCTTATCATTGAAAGATGATCAGATCAGTAAATCCAAATTGCGTTTGTCTGCAGTGTAAACAATTGGAACAGGACGTGATGGAGGAGAGAAAGGAGCATGCACGAGAGGTAAACCACGCAGACACACACATGCATAACAACACATCAACAACCTGTTCAAACGGGGTTAGTGTGTTACATTGTGTAATCAGTGTGTAGTTGGTTACAGTTTGTCACTAGTGTGTGTGGGTTGTGTAGTATGCGTTACACACAACACTGGGGTGTGTGTAGTGTGTTAAGCCTAGTTTATGCTTCTGCGTTTTCAGAGAGACGCAAGGACACGCATACACAAAAGGCGCCCCTTGCGTGTCCCCTGCGTGTCCCTTGCGTGTCCCTTGCGTGTCTTTTCACGCCTCCTTGCGTGCGTCGACCCATTTTTCTAGACTAGCGTGTAAAGCTTTGCAGCCTCCTGCAGCAGCAGGCTGTGATTGGTCTCTGACTACGTCCTTTACGGAGTCTCACGTCTCCGTTTTCACAGCACAATACGGCCGTTATTAAAAGGAAGAACGTTTACGAGAGAACGGATCAGATTGAAGAGCTTTTAAATATGAGCGCTTGTACAAGCCGTCATTGGCGGACTATGAGGACGCCGGATGGCCTCTGATTCGTGGAGGGAGATCTCCACAAACGAGGGGAACAAAGTCGTGGAGGAAAATACGGGACAAATGTGTCCGTGATGAAAAGCAGCAGTGTGGATGCACGGGGCAATAAAGTCTATGATCAATAAATAAAGCAACCAGCGACTTCCACACACAAAGACGTGACTCTCCAGGTCGTCTTCAACAAAACACGTGACTCCACCTGTTGTTCTGGAGGTGAATCGCTCTGCAACACACGCACGACTTTACAACCAGGAAGTGAAAGGTGCGTCGACGCAGACGCAGAAACACGCAGCGGCCTTCACTGTGTGTCACTGGTGTGTGTAGTGTGTTACCGTGTGTGTGTGTGTGTGTGTCAGGTCTGGTAATGGGGTCCACAGGCTCTGAGGGATTAAAGTCTGCTGCTTTAATAACAGAAACACAAGCAGCAGCTGAGACAGAACCGCTGAGCCAAGACCCACAGACCAGGACCAGGAGTGAGACCAGGAGCTTTCCACAAGATCTTTGAAACAGAACAAAATCGCAACCATAAACCTTCCAAACTTGTTTCTGGATCCACTGTAGAGTCTGAAGAGACTAATTAAGTCAAATTAAGAGCCCCCTCCCCTAAGGTTGACCTTACCTCTCGATGATGAAGGTCTGGGCCGGCAGGTTTCACCACCCCCCCCAACCTTAACTCCTCATGTTAAAGGTCATCTATCATCTCATTTGGAAATTATTCTGATTAATAAATCTGGTTCTTTTGAAGACAGATATTTACTCTCTGGGTTTGGTTCTACTTTGATGTCTCACTTTAAACTCAATTCAAGGTTTAATTAGCATAGACGAGGAGGAGGTGGAGGAGGACACAGAGGTGGAGTAGAAATGGAAGCAGTCGGAGGAAGAGGAAAGTGGTGGAGTAGGAGGAAGTTGAGATGAAAGGGGAGGATTCGGAGGAGTAGGTGAGAAAAGACAAGAGAAGGGAAGAGACATTCTGTGAGTGTTTATTTTCAATCAAGGTCACAATCTTCTAGACGACAGCTCTTTTCCCACAATGCAACTGGAGTTTCCTGCCTGCTGTGTTCATACTGATGTTAGGTAATGAGGCAATTAGTTAATTAATCCTTTTCGAATTAGACTCACTGGGATCAAGATGAAGCCGTAAGACAGCACACACATATAAGACAAGACATCATCGTCTTCATCATCATCCTTCTGCTGCACCATGATTTCAATTGGCTTATTATCAGAAATTCAATGTGATTGACATTTCTTTTATCCAATCAGACGGAGCTGCTGAGGCGGAAGGACATTGACGTGGAGCTCCAGGTGCTACAAGCACCTCGAAGGTCAGTGTCTGTAAACTGAGTAGCGGCACCAGCATTATGTCATGTTTGAGGAAACTCTCCTATTCCCACAGTAACAAACCCATGAGGACCTGATTGGATCGTGCGTTTATTCAATTCCATCTGTTTGTCTGCCATCCTTAAAGCTTTTTTCATTTGACTTTAAAGAATGTTTTTTTGTTTTAAAAAATGACCGGATTCTCTCCCAGTTACATGCGCTCGTCCCTTTCGACACGATTCCCAAGCGTGCTTTTTTGCCGTCCTCAGCGACGTGACTGACGTGATTGCGGTTCTTTGCAGAGGCCTGCTACAGTTTTTATGTAGTCCAGGAGCCAAGCTTGTTTGCAGCCATTTTCTTCTCTAGTTCAGTTGTATAATTCGGTTTTGCTTTCTATTTTCATCTCTTTGGTAGCTATATGCAGATCAGAGGCTACGCCTTGTTTAGTGGAACTATCTCTGGATCTGGCCTCTAAATCTGCACTGGTCTGTGAAAATCTGGTCGGGTCTTTACTGGATCCGTCTTTGGTAGATCTTGTCTTATGGATATGATTTCTGGTAAATCTGGATCTGGTCTGGTCTTTAGGGAATCTATCTCTGGACCTGGTCTGGTCTTTGCTAGATCCGTTTCCCTGTTGGGGTGGCGTGCTGCCAGTGTTGGGTTTCATCCACACAGCGTTTTGCAATGAGCCCAAACGGTTACATTTTGGTCTCATTTGATCAGAGCACCTTCTTCCACATGTTTGCTGTGTTTCTCACGTGGTTTGGCACAAACTCCAATTTGGATTTATTGAGGTTTACTTAATGATAATAAATGGTCAACAGCGTCTTTCGTCTTCCCGCTTTTCCATAAAGTCCAGATAAATGGAGTACAGATTCTCCCCCCTTAGCTGTGGATCTTTGTGTATATATGTGCATGTATGTATGCATGTATGCATGTATACATATGCATATGGAATCACACCCAAGAAGACTTGAGGCTGTAATCGCTGCCAAAGGTGATTCAACAAAGTATTGAGCAAAGGCTGTGAATACTTATGTACATGTGATGTTTTCGTTCTTTATTTTGAACAGATTTGCAAAAATTTGCGAAAAACATTTTTCTCTTTGTCATTATGGGTTGTTGTGTGTAGAATGTTGAGGAAAATAATGAATTTAATCCATTTTGGAATAAGGCTGTAACATAACAAAATGTGGAAAAAGTGAAGCGCTGTGAATACTTTCCGGATGGACTGTATATATGTATATGTATGTATATGTATGTATATGTATATGTATATGTATGTATATGTATATGTCTATGTATGTAATGATGATCCAGTCATAATGCAGAACAAACATCCTGTTCTCTGCTCCCACCTCTCCCCCCCTCAGCTTCCAGGACCTCCATGCCCCCCTTCCCAGCGATGGAGGGTCTCCACTGGCTTTGGTGCAGCAGCTGTCCAACGAGAAAGAGAATATGGGGGCGGAGCTTCAGCGCTGTCGGGAGGCCGAGCGAGAGGCCAGCGAGAAAGTCCTCAAGTGAGACTCGTTACAATGTCTTCAAATAAGCCATCTTTATGTTCTTTTGTCTGCTGAAAGGCTTCCAGTGTTTCTTTATTACTAAACATAGACTGGATAGTTTTGAGGACCAGGAACCTGACTGTACATCCCAGTTGTTTTGTCAAGCCTGACATCTTACACCTAGAACAATACTACATATAACTACGACTAAAAGCATATCCATTTCAACAATGAACATTATCAGGTCAACATTTTACATTTTCGACCATTTCCTTGTGAGACTGGTCATCTGTTCTACACTTTTTCCTCGGAGTCTCACATGGACTTTCATCCAAGGGGAGAGTGGAGGCATCGGAGAGGAAGAATGTTTCAGAAGAAATGGACACATCTTTAGAATCTTTTAAAACAAAGAGATTTGTTAAAGTCATCTTAAATCAGCAGAACATGTTCGGAAGGCTGTTACAGCTATCACAGAGTAGAACAAATCATTGTGACATTCTGACAATTACTTACCACCATCAACATGGACCTTTTACAAGTCTTCCCCTTTTTCAAGCAGGTCTGAAAAGATTTCCGGGTCCACTTTGACAGTCGGTGTAAATGATCTGATCTCTGCATCAGCAGTCAGGCCAAATTTTGCAACAACTGTACAGAAAAAAAATGTCATTTGTGGTTGTTATCAGGTTGCAAAATCCAAATTCAATATTTATTGGTCAGTTTCAAAACATGCTTAACCTGATTGGTGGAAGTTCTGGAAATCACTCAACTACCTTGACGTATTTCTGCTTTTTTACTTAACAAGCATTTTCTAATAAATCAATAAAAATAATCATAAAGCTAATCATTTGTTAATCTTACCACAGCTCAGAATGGCACCAGAACAGCCACAAAGGTCACAAGGTCATTATGATCAAGATGAGTGTCAAGAAAACCCGGTGGACAAACTGGAGACAAAAAATGATTTAAAAGTTAACACACAAAATGTGATACACACATTTCATGCATTGTCTACCCGTACCGAGGGACTTTGAAATGATTGTGGCTTTAAGCTCATGTCTATCCATATGCAATGCAAAGTCAAGTCCTTGACACTGGATAATGACTCCATTCCTACAATTGACTCTGTAACAGTTGAATCAACTTTTTGCAGTGTGATTTCAACTTTGCACTTCAACACTTTTGCTTAACACCGAAAAATTAACACAAGAATTTCGCTTTGTAGTCTCATTTCAGGCTTGGATGAAAATTCCTTTTTGTGTTTGGTGCTGCTTCCACTGCAGTGAAGAGAGAACACAGACATCAGCTTATTCCTTTATTATCATAAGATTCATCCATAATCTCACGTTTCAGACAACGGACGCACAGACGGCTCAATAACAGCTGGAAGTTTAGGAGTGTGTGTACATGTGTGTGCGTCTGTACGTGATTCTGTGTGTGTGTAGATAGATGTTTACTGAGTTGACGTCTCCCTCAGAGAGTCACCGGGGTGTTAAAGGTTCTTGTGAATCATTTGAGGTCCACTCTGAGACCAGAGTTTTTTTCCATCAGTAACATGTGTCTGTTTCTAACCGCCGTCAGAGACTCCGGGATGTGTTCACACACTTGTTAAGCGTGTTGGACTAAGGAGATTTGGTTCCGATGATTCATATTCAGTGGACATCGGAGCAAGTGTCTCAGGGAGAATTAATCCTTGCTGGTCTGGGATGACGCTGAATAACGAGGATTCTTCTCATCTCATCAGAGTGAAGATGAAGGGATGAGATTCATGATGAAAGCAGCTTAAGTCGTCCTCCTGGGCTCAAACCTGCAGCTTTCTGCTCTAATTTGGCTGCCAGTGGGGGGCTCGCCGGCTCTGAAGAGCCTCCCAAGTTTGTGAATAGTGCAGAGAGGAATATTTACTCTCTGGAGTGTGTGTGGGGGGGTGATGGAAATCTGCTGGTTATTAGAGACAGGAAGTTTAATTTGCTTTTGGAGGGAAGAGACAGAGAGAGTCGAAGTTAGAAAGTCGTCCAGGGTCAACATCTCATCATCTGAGTTCTCCTCCTCCACCCAGACCCACAGGGTAATATCCACAAACCGACAATAAGCACCTTCATCACTGAGCAGGTGGAGATGTGATCAGGTAGAAACATCCTCACTGCAGGCGGAATCTTTGAAAGTCGCCTCTTTAACTGGACGCATCAGAAGAAAGCTCAGTACTTTTACCAATGACAAGCATGGTCCTTTACTAAGAAGTACTTGCTGTCTGCTAGTGGTCACTGTGGATTGAGCCCCCCTCTCCCTCTCAGGTTGGAGCGGCTGGTCGAGGTGCTGAGGAAGAAAGTCGGGACCGGAAGCCTCCGAGCCGTCATGTGATCTCCTCTCAGATATCACAAAGAACTGTGTCTCCTGTCTCCTACCTGCTACCTCCTATCTCCTGTTGCCTCTCTTCAGATGAGCACCTACAGCTCTGTTATCATTTAGATTTTATACATCTTTTAATATGTATTAATACAAGTATTCTTTCTTTCTTGTTTATCTTAAACTAATCTCTTGAGAACTTTTGGAATTTGTGTGTCCTGATCATGAAATATGACATTATATTTGAATTGATTTTTTTTATATTTATCAGCTTAAATGTGAATTAAATCTTGGTCCCAAAATTAACTGAACATTATGAGCGAATGCTTCTGTCTCCAATTGTTCACATGGTTGGTGCTGTATCCATCGCCTAGTGTGTGTGTGTAGAGGCCACGCCTCCTTCCTCGCCCAGTGTGTGTAGAGGCCACGCCCCCTTACTCGCCCACAGTGTGTGTGTAGAGGCCACGCCTCCTTACTCGCCCACAGTGTGTAGAGGCCACGCCTCCTTCCTCGCCCACAGTGTGTGTATCGAGGCCACGCCTCCTTTCTCGCCCTGTACGTGTATAGAGGCCACGCCTCTTACTCTGACACAGTGTGTGTATAGAGGCCACGCCTCCTTCCTCGCCCACAGTGTGTGTATAGAGGCCACGCCTCCCTCGCCTCCACAGTAAGTATCATTAGCCACTTCTCAATACCTAGAATGCCGAGAACGACTTGCATACTCAGGAGTCCAGACTCAGAGGTTTGGAATAGCAGCTGACTTGATGACGTCAACTGGTCTTGCTAATGAATTTAATACAGTTCTTGACCTTATTTTACTATCAAGCTTTTATTTTGTTCTGAAATTAAAAAATAGTATATATAATCAGCCAGAGGAAACCCTTTTAAATATATTTATCAGACATTGAATGAGTGAGATAAGAACTGCTGTCCAGTCTGTAATGTTTCTGATGAAGATGAAGAGGAGCAGCTGAACTTTACTGGATTACACTGAGATGTGTATATCTAATATTTATTCACGTTAAACACAAAGTACAGAGATGGTTTGATAAAGTAACAATAATGAATCCGTTCATGTTTTAATGGAAAGGGACACATTCCACACACACACCTACCGTTTGTCTCAAACATCAAGAGGCTGATAATCAGTGTGGTCCTCGTACAGGTAAATGCACAAACATCACTAGAAATGAAGTTGAACCTCTTCTGTGTGTCTACATCGATAGTGATTAATATAGTATTTAATATCTATGATACAGTGACAATGAGGCTGTAGGTGGAACCATGAAATGAATAGAAACATTCAAGCATGTAAGCAAGCAGCTCACCACACATGAAAGAAACATGTACTTCTTATTATTACATTTAAAGTCCCTTTGAAGCTGACGTCCTGCTGCCGGTTTAGAGTCTCGATGACTCCTCGTGTCCTTAAATTAAAGCATTATTCGTTTTAGTGGACAACGATAGACAGTACAACAGGCCTCACTGACACAACGTTGTAGTTCTACTGCGCCCAAGTGAGGTTTGAAATTATGAAACTAAACTCTGGCCTCAAACAAACGTAACGTTACCAGTGAACAAACAGATGAAACGCTATGAACACTCGAGTCCTGATAGTTGTATCTCCTGTATAATCGCCATGGAGACGTGAACACCAGCGGGCATCTGACCGAAGCCTCCTGGAGAACAGGCTGCGATGAGCGGAGGAGTCACCTCACATCCTGGAGCTCATTGTCAACGTGGCCATTTGGATCACACAAGAACGGTCTGCTCTGATGCATTCTGGGTAAAATGGAGGCGGCGTTTCACATCCGGGTATTATGACGGTTCTCGGCGAGATGCAAACTAATGACCCTTCACAAGTCCATAAGAAGGACACGCGAGGACACAAGAACGCATATTGATAAAAGGGCAACTATGTGACCCTGTCGAGACGTCAGCCAGAACGCCATGCGTGGGCGGAGCTTTGTCGCCTTATTCGCGCCCATTAAAAGCAGAGGAAGTCTGACCTCCTTTACATTTTCATGATGTGTAAAATAAAGAGTTAATATTCAATTTTGTTAATATTTATAGTTGAGTTACAACAAATCATTTCTCTTTTTAATGTGATGTATATTTCCTCGACAGAAAACTGATTCCAATTTAGTCCAAGAATGAATAAAACTTCTGATCCTCCTCCTCCTCCTCCTCCTCCTCCTCCTCCTCTCTGTTTATTTATGGATGTGACTAATAGGAGGAAGCTGCTCCTCTCTTCCTCCTCTTCCTCCTCTTCTCCTCCTCCTCTCTGTTTATTTAAGGATGTGACTAATAGTTGGAAGCTGCTCTGACTTCTTGTTCCCTAAAAACTTCTAATTAAAATTTAACTTTGACAACTTTCAACAAGTAGGATTAAAGTAAAAAAGATGGAGCTTCCTCATCTTCGTCTTCATGATTTCGGTTCTGAAACCATTCGGATTGGAACATTTCTCCATCAGCACACATTACTTTCTCCATCAGCACAAAGTACTTCTTCACCATAATGAAGTGCCTGTCAGGGATGTTGCGTGGGGAAAAAGGCAGGACTCAAACGCAGAGTTTGCGGGAAACAAAAAGGACTTTAATAGTCAAAATGCACAAACGCAAAAGGCCAACGGGCAAAAACACACACAGGAACAAGGAACCTCCAGGACGATAGACGATGGACAACAGACACACACACTTAAATACACCAGGGAGGGGCAGGTGATTGGACACAGGTGGAAACAATCAGACAATCACAGGGGACGACAGGACAAGGCAGGAAGTGACACGACCCAGGGAGAACAGAGGCAAGAACTACAAAATAAAACCAGACGTTAACCCAAACCGTGACAGTGCCAACTCTGCCAGTACAAAGTATGAGATGAACACGGCCACTATGCCGTATACTCCATTAGTATGTACTTCATACTAAAGTACATACAGGGGGGGAAGGAAGTAATAATAGTAATAATACTAAAAACAGGTAGTAATAACATAATAATAATAATATTAACAATAATAATAACACTATTAATCACATTGTCGATAATGATAACTAGAATAATAGTATTAATATTGAAAATAGAGCCAACAATAATAATAATGGAAACATGTTTCATATGTAATCAAATCAAATCAATGACTCGATCACAGGAAAGAAAAGTCTCTGAATCAACTTTAAATTAACCAACAGTTATTCAACGATTTTATTTAATTTTCGCTGATTTTCCAATTTCCAAGAAATTTTACAGACAAAAGTTGTCATCAGCATGCATCTGTTTGTGTATGCGTGTGTGTCCCCCCCTGCCGCCTGGTTACCATGGTGACGGCGGACCACTCGTGGTCATCTTGGGTGTTCTGGTTTAATCCTGCAGCCGGTAATCTGCTTGTTCTGAAGAAAGACTCAGTTTGTAGGAGCTCCAACTTCTGACGCCACCTGGGAGAGGGGGGCGTGTGTGTGTGTGTGTGTGTGTGTGTGTGTGTGTGTGTGTGTGTGCGCGCGCGTGTGTGTGTGTGTGTGTGTGTGTGTGTGTGTGTGTGGGTGTGTGTGTGTGTGTGTGTGTGTGTGTGCGTGTGCGTGTGTGTGGGTGTGTGAGAGAACTCATGAGTCTTACACATCCTTGTGTTGATGTTTGCATCAGAAGCTTTGCTCTCTGATTGTCTGGCAGGTGATCTTAATATTTCAATAAGTTCAATAAAATTTGCACACATATGTATGTCTGGCTATATATATATATATATATATATATATATATATATATATATATATATATATATATAACGGACATTTTCATTTAAAAATATGTGTATGTATATATATATACATATTTTACGCACAGATATATTAGTACATGTGTGATATATGTGATGGTTTCGTCCACAAAGTGCACCACTGTCTGCCCCCCCCCCCCCCCCCCCCCCCCCTTCTTTGTCTTCTTTTCTTCTCCTCTCTCTTATTCTGGAGAGGATTTCTTCTTTGCTCTTTTTGTGGTTGGAGCACAATCGTGTTATTGGAGATAATTAATTCCAATCCCCCTCCAAAGGGCTGAGTGGTCCCCCGTGCCCCCCCCCCCCCCCCCGGGCCCCCGGCCCCAGCCCTATCTTTCTAGGTAGCGAATGAAAGGCGAGCAGAAGAAAGGGACGACATTTCCCTCCATAAGGCTTGGAAGGAGAGAAAAGCTTCACTCAAATGATGCTGGGACCCCGGACCCCCCCCCCACCTCCCCTTGTGCCAGGAACATATGGCTCGCATTACAACAGACTGGGTGGCACAGGGACCCGGTACATGTTTACTGGTTTGGAGGAGGAAGTACTGCGATACAGCACTGTAGGACAAGTAGCCCCTCACAGCTCAGTTACAATGTTCCTAAAAGTATTACAATAGATTTACTTAATACAGCCTATATTTCAAATGAAAGATTTTACATCACTAGTTTTGGTTTTGTTCATACTTTATTTCCTCTGAAGTTTACAATTTTTCTGAACAAATGAAGTTAAGAAATAGTTCTGCACGTTACTGCGTTATAAATGCGTTACCGTAACAACCAATGATGTCATCATACATTAACTCTGCTGCGTGCTGAGAAAATGCAGAAAAGTACTGCGCCTTTAAATGGACATTTTCATTAAGGATGAGGCGACTGTGGGTGAGGGTTCAGGTGACAGTCGTCCTCCAATCAGAGGGTTGTCGGTTCCATCCCAGGCTCTACTAACCCGCATGTCCATGTGTCCTTGGGCAAGACACTTAACCCAACGTTGCTCCTGTAGCTGCGACTACAGTGTGTGGATGTTAGTGACTGATGGGCAGGTGTCACTGTGTGTGGTTCTCCTGTCATCAGTGCGTGAATGATGTCATCAGTGTGTGAATGGGTGTGAATGGGTGAATGATGTCATCAGTGTGTGAATGGGTGTGAATGGGTGAATGATGTCATGTAGTATTAAAGCGCTTTGAGTGGTCAGAAGACTAGAAAAGCGCTGTACAAGTACCGTCCATTTACCATTTAGAATCTTCACCAGGCGATAAAGGAAAGCCACTGCCAACCGGAGGTGTCTTACCACCGCAGTATACGGGCCTAAAGTACTACGAGCCTGAAGTACTACGAGCCTGAAGTACTACGCGCCTGAAGTACTGCGAGCCTGAAGTACTACTTGAAGCGCACGCAGCGGTTAAAGCAGCCCTCTAGCTACAAACCACCAGTGGAGAGACTTGTGCAGACTACGCTGATGCGGCGTGCAGAAGGACTGTGGACAAACCAACGAAGAAGAATGAAGCGTCCTTAGAATGGCAGCGAATGAGGCGGGTACGAGCCTCTGAACACGCAGCAACACGCGGCGTGAGGACAACACACGAGATGTGTGAAACGTTACAACGAGCACCGACTCAGTGACGACATGCAGACTCACACAGTCTGAGGTCGGAGGGATGGATAAAAAAGTAGAAATGAAGTTAATTTGATTGGTTGATTTATTTATTGTGAAACTGCTCAATCCTGTATCACTGAAGTACTCAACTGTGTTTTTTTTCTCTTTTTCAAAACAAAACCAGTCTTTACAGATTAAAAAGTATTTTTTGTGCTAGACCACTTTACCTCATTAACAGGGAGCCTCACTACTGAACACATGCTGGATGCATTATGCAGCATGTGTTCAGTAATAACACACTAACCCCCTCAAAAAAATAAATAATAAATATATATATATGCATATATAACAATGTTATAACAATGTTAAAATATATAAGAATATACATATATATATATATATATATATATATATATATATATATATATATATATATATATATATATATATATATATGTATGTATGTATATATATATATATATATATACCATCTGCTAGATACCAGATCAATAACCTCTGGATAAACTATATCACCAGATAAATGTCTTTAGTAGAATAACTGAGTTCAAAATGAGTAACTGAGTTTGTTTGCATTACAAATCATATTTACCACAGGAAGAAAATAAAGTAAATAAAACTAGAAGCGCTGTGACTTACGTGGTTATAGATATGTATATATATAATATTATATATCATATATATATATGCTGTATGCCGAGGCCTCTCCTGTACTACTGCTCACCTGTGACTGGTTCCAATGCTGTTACCAAGACAATTGTCCGGAAGTGGCTCCTTTTACACACACAATCTCAAACAAACACATCTACACAAACATGTCCGCGACCATCTTTGCTTTTAGCTCAGTCAAAAAAGACCAGAAACGCTGCAAGTAACATTGACGATAATGTACCTCTCGTACCTTATTACTAAGTACAAGATGGTTTTGTCTGTTTTCTTCTTTTGTGCATTTATTTATTCAATATGAGTTAGTTTGTTAACACAAATAAATACATAAGTTAAATAATTTTGGCGAAGGGTGCCCTTTTGTTTTGTTTTGAGTTTTCAGTATATATATATAAGTATATAATATATATATGTATACATATATATATATGTATGCTTCTCCTGCGCAGTGATACAGAACGCTCGGGTCAATCTGAACAGCAACTGTACATTATCGCTCAATAATTTACCCCTCGTGACTCACTCTCAACCAATCAGAACGCAGGATTTCATCTACCTGTATTATAAATATACACACACACACACACACACACATATATATATACATATACAGTACATATACATATATATGTATATGTGGAGGTAGAGTCTGAATGTATATATATATATGTATATATATACATATATATATATGTATATATATACATATATCTGAATGTATATATATATATGTATATATACATATACATATATATACATATATATATATATATATATACATTCAGATATATGTATATATATATATATACATTCAGACTCTCCCTCCACTAACACACTAACTACCTGCAGCACTTACATTGGACTTATAATGGTTCTTATCTACAGCAAGTTGTAATTCGGCTTATTTGAGGAAATTTCACTTTCTTGTTTCTTGTTCATCTGAGTTTGTGTCCTTATGGTTGAAATGTTCTTATTGTAAGTCGCTTTGGATAAAAGCGATGATAAATGACATGTGATGTAATGATATACATATACGTATATATATGTATGTATATATATAATGTGTGTACATACATACGTTTATACATACATGGGGCCAGCCTGGGTCTGTGTTGTCGGGTAATTAGCGCATCATTTGGGGATTATTAAAGACATGTCATGGCTTAGCAGAAGAATAAAAGAAAAAGCTTCAGATGAAAGTGAAATGTGCAGAGTTCAGGTTAAAACCCACAGAGGAGGTCTGCAGGAGGCTCACTGTGCCGGCCGTGTTTACTGGCATGGGTGAGGAGGGGGAGGGAGGGAGAGAGACGGAGAGAAAACCCACATTTTAAAGAACAAATCAATAAATGTTTTATTGTTTTATTTGGAAATGACAGAATAAGTTAACAACATGAAGAAGAAGAACATGCAGCAAAGTCAAAAACCAACACACAACAAGGACAAGCTGGAGGTCACAAACATCCTTCCTCACTTCCTCACGTCCCTTGTTCCTCCGTTTTTGAAGAAGAAGAGGAAGACAAGGAAGAAGAAGATGCAAACAAAGAGAAAAGGAGAGGCAGAGGATAAGCAAGTGGAAGAAGAGGAAGAGGAAGACGACCTCCAGCTTCATGCACATGATAAGAACAATTGTCAACCAGAGTCACTGATGGACAGAAGCTGCAGTGTAAATACAACAGGAAGTTTAAATACAACAGGAAGTGAGTCCTTTTACACACAGAATCTCAAACAAACATATCTACACATATATGTCTATAGATAAATACAGATATGTATGTGTATATATTATAGGATAGTCTTGTACTAATAATTGGATCAGTAGATACGTGATGACACGTAGGTTTGATCAGAAATTTGCCCGGATACAGACGCCACACAGCCGGCCCTTTAGACCAGGATCTTTAATCTGCGTGGGGGGTCGTGACCCCTCAGGAGGTCAGCAAAGAGGCAGGCGAGGTCATGGGAGAAATGAATCCTTCTCATATTTCCAATCAAAATGATTCTTTTGACCTTGAAGTTGTTCAAATCTTTTTCTCCAGCTGACGCTCTGGGCCGTCTGAGGGGCCTCAACTCATTAAATATAACTAATGACCAGGGAAATTTTCATTTATTATTTAAATAAGATTCTAAAATGTTTGAAATGACACTGATCATCAATAAAGCCCCGTCTGCTTGTTCTAATTAGAAGACGTCCACTGGAAGTTAGAGTTGTGGGGTCCGGGCCACAAATATTTAAATCCAGTAAATGAGATCAGTTGTTAATCCAGATGTTTCTAAAATGTATCATCTGGAGCACAAGGACCTTCTAGTTGTTTGTGACTCACTATGTAAAAGGAGGATTCAGACCTGGGGTCAGTTTGAATGGCCGAGTATTAAGGCGTCTCTTTGAGTTTCGGTCCTGAGTCCTGGTTCAGGAGTTCAGTTCCAGCTCTGTGTGCAACTCCAGGATGGCAGCATGCAGGAAGTCCAGAGGAGAGGACTAGGAGGTGTTGAGGAGTGGTCTGGGGTAGACCCCCTGGTAGTAAGAGGCCTCCAGTGGCTCCACGGCCCGCCCCCCGGCCCCATAGGAGGATACTGCAGCGCCTCGTAGGCCTTCAGGTCCAGTTTGTGCTGCTGCTCCGAGGATGACATTAAGTTATTGATGGAGAAGGGGTGGTTGAAGGAGTAGTGGGGGTCTCCCTTCAGGTGCAGCTGGGACTCGTGCGCCATGGAGTGGGGGGGCGACGACAGGGAGGACAACAGCTGGGAGCCAGGCACCTTGGAGTCCAACGGCCCACACCCCCGCAGGTCCAGGCCCGGAGGCGAGGACGCCTGGCTGGAGGAGGCCAGCGAGGAGGGGTCCAGCAGCCCTGGGGGTTTGTCCTTGCATGGCGACGCCCCCCCGCTCAGCTCCTTCCTTCCGTCGGACTTGCTCGGGGGCCTTTTGTCGCACTTGAACCTTTTTTGGCGCCGCAGGTAGCAGCCGTTCTCAAACATGTTACCAGAGTCTGGGTGCAGAGTCCAATAGGACCCCTTCCCCGGCTTGTCGGGCGAGCGCGACACCTTTACGAAGCAGTCGTTGAACGACAGCGAGTGCCGGATGGAGTTCTGCCAGCGCTGCTGGTTCTGCCGGTAGTACGGGAACAGGTCCATGATCCACTGGTAGATCTCGCTTAGCGTCAGCATCTTGCTGGGCGCCTGTTGGATCGCCATGGTGATGAGGGAGATGTAGGAGTAGGGGGGCTTGGCGTGCGGGTAGCTCCTCCTGAAGGCCTTGTTGTCGCGGCCTCGGTTTAGCCCGCCACTGCCGTACGCCACGCCGGGGCTCATGGCGGGACTTAAGGCACCGTACGGGTTCAGGCCCATGGACGCCTGCTGGGCCGACGTCATACCGGAAGGGCTCAAGGTCCCGCCCATGGAGGCCACGCCCCCTCCTAGACCTGACATGGTCACCGGAGCCGGGCCACCCATCCCCCCCATCCCACCCACCGGAGGGGGGCTCAGGCCGGTCCCGCCGTACGACATGTTGAAGGACCCGGACGTGGTTCCGCTGCCACACATGTAACCCGACATGGATCCCATCCCGAGACCAGAACCCATCCCACCGCCCGCCATTGGAGAGTAGACCTGCACAGAGACCAGAGACAGACCAGTTACACCAGAACGTAAGACCACAGCAGAACTCAGTGAGAAAATAACCAGTAAGACCAGAATCCCCTCGGGACCCCCACCCAGCCTCGCTTTGTAATTATAAATCAATAATAAACCGGATGAAAATATTTCACCTCAGGTTTTGTGAATATTCACATTTGGAAAATGATTTAGTTTAAAAGCAGAGATCTAGTGAACAAGACTCATTAATGGTGTTTGAATCCTTTTAGTTAATTAATTGTATTAATAATCCAATAATTTGAATATATAGATTAATATATATATATACATATAGATATATGTTGTATTATTATAGAATAAAAAATATTTGTCACTGACGCGCTTCATATATAATTTGATCAACGCGTTTAGATTTTAAATGAAACCAGAAGCAAATGATTGCATTATTATTATTTTTAATTTGTATTATTATTATTGTTATCATTTATTATTATATCATCATCATGATCAGCAGTTTCTTTCTCCGTTTTCTCCTGCGCCGATGTGAGACGGCGGAACTCTTCAATCCCATGATAATATCTCTTTATATTTGCATATGTTTATATTCATGTATGTATATATATTTATATATATATATAATATTGCATGTAGAATTAGAAGCACTAGATAATATTTGAACATTGACAACATCATTTTGTAACTTTTCATTTGATCCGCTCGAGACTGTTTCTCCGCTCTGACCATTAATACAATAATAATATTATATAACATAAAACCTTCAAACTAGAATTTCGATACAAATATTGAAATATGTTAATATTAATATTCTGTGACGCAAATTAAACAATCACAGATTTTAAATAAATCAAATTCAGCTGATATTTGTATCAATTCTCTTGACTTGACTTATTTATCTTATATATAAATAATATCTATAAGACTAATAATGTAAAGGTATTTAGTCATTAAAAATCATATTTATCATCTTAAAAACTAAACATGAGATTTACTCCGATAATCCATTTATTATTAAGTTATAAATTTGTGATTTTATCAAACGAATTGCCGATTTATTTTCGTTCAAGCATCCTTATAAAAAGACGTATTATGCTCTCTGAACCGCCTCGATTATTAATTCGTACATCAAGAGAAAAATGTTTATCTTCGATCGGACGGAGAAATTCCACGTTATTATTATTGTGATTATTAACTATTGTTATGGTTGTATTATAATGTTTTGTCATTATTTACTACAACTATGATCGTTTGTATTATTACGTTTTATTATCATTGTTATTTATATGCTTTTCGTAATTGTTGTTGTAGTTATTTGTATTGTTATAAATCATATTTCAAAGCTGTTTTTAAATTTAAATTTGTTTCCCTTCTGAAAACAAAATAAAGTTTAACTTTGATCAAATAACTTCCGTGTGCAATAAAATTAGTCACAAAATGTGTAGTAACGCTGCGCGCTTCGCTTCTCCTAAATTTAACACTTTCTACTAATGCGGACCAATCGGACCCGGATCGGACCCGGATCGGACCCGGATCGGACCCGGATCGGACCGAGGCTGTCGCAGCCTCTCAAGGCCGTGAAAGCGGCCCTAAAGCCGGCAGAGAGTCACCGACCTCCTCGCTGTAGTATCCGCTCCAGTCCGGAGCCTCGTGCCCTTCCATCTTCACGGGGCCGAGCATGGCGGGAGCCCGCGACCGGAACGCAAGTCCTGCAGGTCCCGCTCCTGCTCTGCTGGTCCCCGGTCTAAGTATCGGTGCGGGTCCTGGTCCCGTTCAAAGCGATCCGATCCGAGCCAAGAGGAGCAGAGAGGAGCAGAGAGACGTAGTGCTGAGAGGAGGAGATGACCTGAGGTCTAATATGATCCTCCTCTTGCTGCAGGGACAACCCACAAAGACACACACACACACACACACACACACTTCCTCCCGACAGTCAGTGTCAGACTGTGTGTGTGTGTGTGTGTGTGTGTGTGTGTGTGTGTGTGTGTGTGTGTGTGTATCATTGTATCTGTCTCTATATTTAGTTATGTGATAGTTTGTGATATTCTGTGTTCATTAATCTCACATCAGTCTTTTACTCTGAAAAATGTATAATAATCGAAATTTAATTTGTTTTGGGGATTTTTTAAAAACCTTTTATTGATACAGGACAGTTCACGGTCATGTCATCAAATCAAAATAAATAAATAACTCATCCAACCAAGGAAACACAGCATGAAGGATCAGCTCCCCCCAACGGCCCAAATGGGCTGAAAGCCGTCACATCACTTTATAATAAGTTTGTTCCACCTTCAGTCGGCCCTCAGCAGTCCCTCCAGCGCCGGGACGGCCTCACGGCCTCACGGCCCTCTGACCCCGGCTCCTGCGTGTTAGCCAAATGGACAGAAGGTTCCCCAACGTGTGAACGGGTTTCCTCTTAGTATTTAGGACCAAAGACAGACAAAACCAACAGACCCTGAAGCCAGCCTTTAAAAGTTCCAACAGTGCTAACAGCCGAGGACACTTCAGGGAACGCAGGAAACGCCCGTCCTCTGGGGATCAGGGTGCACTCTGTACCGACAGTGACCTGTGTACTTCCCTCCATTGCAAGGTCGCTTTTCAATGGACAGTTTACGATGGCCAGCTGCCTTTCAGGGACGTATCTGGACCAAAGAAAGTCCACCTGTGCGGACTCCTTCACCCCGTCAAAGAGTTGACAAACTTGATGCAGGTGTACAAGCTTTTTTGTCGAAGTCATGGAACTTCTCCAGGTGCAGGGTTGTGAAGGTGAGAAGCTGACTTCCCTCTCCTCGCAGGGGGTGATGGAGGGGGAGGGGAAGCAGTACTCAAAGCTCTCTCTGGGGTAAGGACGGGGCAGCACAGAGTGATGGTGCTGCTGTCTCTCAGGGCCTCCATCGATGTCGCCGTCATCCTGACACCTGCTGAGGATGAGCAGAAATCTCTGAGACTCGCTCGCTGGCTGACAGATTGCTCGCTGACAGAGTTCTTAAAAGTTGTTAGAGAACAAAGGTTCCGCGAACAACCACATTCCACGAACCTCAACCGTGGCCTGTGTCACACCGGCAGCACCGAGCTGCAGAACAATGTAAGACTCGTAACAGCCAACGTCTCTGGATGCAGGAGGAACTCCCCAGAAAACAAACTGTCCAGCTGGCTTGGGCTCCTGTCACAGCCGCCGGAGACGAAAGGAAGACATTTTGGACTGAATGTCAATCAGTCCATGTCCCCCCTCATTAACAGGCAGGTTGAGCTGTCCGGATCCGGTGCTTGTCAGACCGGAAAAGCCCCCCAGTCTTCACCATTGGGCACCACTGTAAATACCAAGACATAATACCAAAGTGTACATTGTTACGCCGACTCCACTCCGCCTGGCTCCGCCCCCAAAGTGGTCAGCAAACGCCTGGTCGGGGTTCCTCATCTGACCCGGGTCGGTGGTGACTCTGCCTCCTAGTGGCCAGAGACGTTACATTTGTAGCTCTTTTCTTGTCTTCCGACCACTCAAAGTGCTTTTAAATCCTCATGTCATCATTCACCCGTTCACACGCGGATGACAGGAGCTACCACACACAGTGACACCTCACATTCACACCCTGCAGTCACAGGAGCCATGTTGGGGTGAAGTGTCTTGCCCAAGGACACATGGACATGCGGGTTAGTCGGGCCTGGGATCGATCAACCGTGACAACAGTGTTGTCCGCTGGCTGCAGTCACCCTGGTATTGTTGACCCTCACCCATGTGTCGACTGTCTAGACTGTGGATGTTTGATTCCCCAGATGTGTGATGACCCTGTTGAACCTGTGAGATGACGGTGGACGGGGTTCCTCACCGCTATTATCCACTGTACAGTCCCAACTGCAGTTAAAATCCACAAACTAAAAACAACTACAAGTTCTTGATGATGGTTCTTTCATTGATTATCCAGTGTGTTGAACAAAGCCTCGGTTCGATGCATAGATGTTGACAAAGCAGAATTCTCTATTTCTGTCTTCACAGTCACCACCTAAGAGCCCCAGTCAAGTTCTTGGATATTTCTATACTCTGCCCCAACTTGACAAGGTCTGGTACCCCAAAGAAACGCATGGGACAACGCTTTCCAACTAATATTTAAGTTCTTCTTAATTCTCTGGTCTGGTTCGTTCGTCAGGTTGAAAACACAAAAAGTTATTCAAAAATGAAACCACATTTTAAACAATTTCAATTTAACAAATAATCATCAGAATAATAAAACAATAAACGACTGTACCAGTGGCTTCTTTGGTTGTACAAGTAGATGTTTTGGTCCTCACTCTGCTGGGATGATTTATCACACCTCATTCACAGGTGGTTCAATGCACTGGCCCGCTGCTGGTTTGTTCCAGGATTTGCAGTTTTTTGTGTAAAGTCAGGTTTCAAAAGCTTGAAATGTTCTTTTTTACCTGAACACTACCTCATCTGCTGGCACCGTCAACAACACGTTAACCTATTTCTGATTGAAGACTTCAGATAACAAAGCCTGTTTTGGGGATCTCTGTCGCTGTTAATGTTTACAGATGTTGGGGATCTGCATTGAGGGGTCAAAGAAGAGAAAAACAGACACTGTGAAGCAGTGGTGGCTGCAGCAGTTTCAGCAAACATCCCAGTATAATTCAATGCAAAACAAAGTATCAAAGAATGTGTGCTTTTTCTGCTTTTTTTCTTTTATCCAGAATGTCAAGGCTGACCTCTTTTCTAATTACTCACTGATATGTTACTGAAGCCATCGTTTACTTTAATAGACTTTTATAAGTCTGTATTTCTTGCTGATCTGTGTGTGTTTGCTGCGGGTTCCACTAACAGACTCCATGTCCTCTCCACATGACAGCTGACTGCTTCCTCCACCCTTTACTCCCGCGTGGGTCTGCTCCTTCTCTCCATTGTCTTTACCAGCAGCCTGCAGTACCGCAGCCCGCCACCAGTGGGCCGGCAAAGCACAGCGAATTGTGTCTGACCAACACCTGGTTTCTGGGGGGACGGAGGCGGTCTTTTGGAAGATGCCATTCCTCCCACAAACACCTTGACGGAGACCAGATTACACAAAGCAGTGAAGCAGAAACAATAGTTCTAAATACTCACCAGATCATGAACATCAACAGAGAAAGAAGACAGTTAGAGACTCAAAGATCAGGAACATTCAAATCTACCGGCACTCACACTCACACTAGCCGGAACCGGAAAGAGAAGAAGAAAAAGTCTTATAAAAGAGCCCTGGTACAGAACAGACCTTTTGAGCCTCGCTTCAGACTGAGTGGTCGACAAGATCTGGATCAACTTTTTTAAGGATGATGAAAACCTAGAACCTAGACACACGGTGTCCTTCCTTTGGGAGTAAAGGGCCATCTGGTCTCACCTTCCTTTAGGACTAAAGGACATGTGGTCTCACCTGGTGTCCTTCATTTGGGGAAAAAGGGACATTGGCTGACTGACTGTCTCAGTTCAATGACACTGACACAGTGGAGGTCCGGGACCTTTGACCTTGTTTAAAAGCCCTGATGGACTCATAGTACCGCGATGACATCACCGTACAGAGTGTAGGTGGACGGATCCTGTTTGTGATTCAGGACCCTGAGAACGGGGAGGTTCAGGGTTGTGACTCACAGAACTGTAAATCACACTAAAAGCTCCTCAGTAATAATTATCTTGTCTCCTGACTGACTCACTATCACCTGTCCATGACCTCCTCACTGAGACCTGCAGACTCCAACAGTGAGGCTCAGCAGTCTCTGCAGAGCCGGGAGAACCAGGAAGGTCTACACACAGGTCATACTGTTACCGCTAGCTGTGTGAGGGTTTATTGATACATGTTTGATGATTCATTGATGAATGGTGTGATTGGTTGATTGATGAATGGTGTGATGGTGGAATGGTGTGATTGGTTGATTTTTTTTTAATGAACATGTGTTTAATATGATATTATTGTTGTTTTCTCTTTCTGTATTAAGACAAGTCACTGTAGGATCATCACAAAAGACAGAGGGTGAAGTGTTCATGTGTGTGTGCCTGTCTCTTTGTGTGTGTGTGCCTCTCTCTTTGTGTGTGTGCCTCTCTCTTTGTGTGTGTGCCTCTCTCTTTGTGTGTGTGTGCCTGTCTTGCAGCATGTTATTAAAGTCATGTTGATGGCTTTGATTCTTCTCTGAACTCTTCAACTGTGTTTCATCAGCCCAACTGTCTCCACACACACACACACACACACACACACACACAGACTGACACACACACACTTCTCTGCGGTCAGTCATCACATTGCAGGGGAGTTGAGGTAGTTTACCTAAACACTGAGGTAAAACCATGTGAGGAAGGAGAGCAACCTGTCATTATTAGTTTTAGACACTGCTTCTTCTCATCTTGGGGCTTCCATGGGCCTACGAGTGGCCTCCACACTTTGATCCAACTAAAGTTCATTTCAACAGATTTACAGTTTTAGTACATATTTTTGTGGTTAAAGAGATGTATGACTTGATGCTGCCCTCTGCTGGAGGAACTAGGAGGTTACAGATATATATATATATATATATAAATACATCTCTGTACAGGGTGGGGAAAGGGGAAATCCTTTTTAGAACATAAAAACCTATTTTAGAGCATTATTCTATTTTTTAGAACATGACGTAATTATCCATTTTATTTATCCAATCATCTCTGACGTATATATATATATATATATATATATATATATACACACACACACACACACACACACACACACACACACACACACATACACATATATGGTGGTGGCAGTAGGTTGCTTATTCTACCGTTAAATCTAGAGCTGAAGAAGACACCGTTTCCGGGTCAGTTTGGATTGGATGACGTACCTTTGGGAAGTTCCGGTGT